GTGAACTTACACGTGCGTGCATGCGTGCGTGCGTCCGTGTGTGTGCACGTGCGTGCGTGCGTGTGTGCGCGCGTGTGCAGGTACACGTTCGTTCGTTCGTGCGTGCGTGCGCAGGTACACGTGTGCATGTGTGCGTGCGTGCGTACGTGCGTGTGTGTGCAGGTACACATGCGTGCGTGCGTGCATGCATGTGCACGTAGACATGCGTGCGTGCGTGCGTGCGTGTGCACGTACACGTGCGTGCATGCGTGCGTGCGTGTGCACGTACACGTGCGTGCATGAGTGTGCGTGTGCGTGCGTGCGTGCGTGCGCGTGCGTGCGTGCGTGCGCGTGCGTGCGTGCGTGCGTGTGTACGTACACGTGCGAGTGTGTGCTTGTATCGAACAATATCACGCATCTGCTTGCTGCCAACCGTTAAACTGCGCATGTGCGCATATGACGTCAATGTTTATCAACATGAAACACTCCTATATGCCCGGCAGCCGCTGTTCAAAAGATAGGCAAGAGGTCCATGAGATGTATCATTGTACAGAGTGGCTATATGCCCGGCAGCCGGCATATATCTGACGGCTGCCGGGCACGGTCTTCGATTTCCTAAATGCCCGGCAGTTTTTAATTTTTAGTGTTATCTCAAGTAAACAAGGGTTAGGGTTAAAGTTAGGATTAGGTTTAGGGTTAGATTTATGGTTTAGGGTTAGATTTATGGTTTTTGTAAGGGTTAGGGTTAGGGTTAGAGTAAGGGTTAGGAACTGCCGGGCATTTAGGAAAACGAAGACCGTGCCCGGCTGCCGGGCATATAGCCACAGCGATCATTGTATGATATGAGTATGATGTAGATAAATAAGTGTTAAAAGGCCCGATCATTTTGCGTTCTGTGAGCCGTTTTTCGTGTGAGCAGTGCCAGTGAAAGCAGTATCGTTGCCCAGTTTCAGCATAGTTTGTGCTAGGCCTGGTTATAGTTTTAGACTTAGAGTTAGAGCTAGTAATAACTATTCCCGAATCCCATATAGACGCCTCCGTCGCTTAGCCTCCGGCTTGCGAGACACAACTCCACTTACACAATATGGAGCATTGCTTGAATCTCTTAACTCCTGTGTGTCGGGAATTGAGAAATGCATTTCGGATTACTTTACTTAGCGATGTATGTAGTACAAGCTGAAGTGTAGGCACTCATTATCTCACTAAACGTCAGAACAACTGAGTAGAGAAGTAGTCTACTCGCGTTCTCGATTCCAAAGATCCAAAACAAGCGAACAGCCGAATCGATACCAGCGCCGCCGCCACCGCTGCCGCTTCCGCCGCCACCGCCGCCACCGCCGCCACCGTTGCTATATTCTCTATTCAATTCTCTATTCGATAGCTTTGCCGCAAGTAATAGAATAATTTGGCATACCTCGGCCGATTCCATACCTTCAACCTCGCTTATAGATTTAATACACTAATATATAGAGCTTTTGAGGTGGGAGGGGCATGACCCCGGACCACCCTAGTGACCCTAGCACCGCGTGCATTGCATGGGCATGTCTTCACTCAAATATCGACACCCCCCCCCCCAGGGCCGTACGCAGCAGGGGGGCAGCAGGGGCAGTTGCCCCCCCCCCTAGAGATTTTCAGAGTATGCCTTTTAATGGGACAAATACTGTACACTTTTAGAAATAAAATAGCGTTCCAGTGCATCGCATTTTTAAGAATATCTCGTTCCAGAGCATTAAGTTTAGTTACCATGCAGATCTTACAATTTTTTTTTCGTCCGGAGACCCTAGTTTTCAATATTTCCGTTCCAGTGCTTCGTACTTCAGAATACGTTGAAGCCGGGCCGGAGGCATGCATGCAACGTGTGTGTGTGTCTGTGTGTGTGTGTGTGTGTGTTGTGTGTGTGTGTGTGTGTGGTGTGTGTGTGTGTGTGTGTGCTTGTGTGTGTGTGTGTGAGTGTGGTGTTGTGTGTGTGTTGCTTTGTGTGTGTGTGTGTGTGAGTGAAACCCTGTGATGTGTGTGTGTTGGGTGTGTGGTTGTGTGCTGTCGTGTGTGATGTGTTGGTGTCGTGTGTGTGCGTGGTTGCGTACGTGCCGGGTGCGTATGCCGCTGCGTGCGTGTGTGCGTGTGCGTGGCGTTCATCTCTCTTCCGGGTCTGTTTTTCTCCTCTACAACAATATTTTATTGGGATTTCAAGTGCTCGCATAGTTTTTAAAGCAAATCACTGTTCCCCTCCCACAGTTCGCGGAGCCCCCTCTTTTAAGTGTGCAATGTCAAGCATGAATTTCAACAAAATCCAGTGCGGAAGACCTTCATTTTCGAAATTAGCCAGTTCCAGCATACCACATTCAACAAACATTATAGTTCCAAAGAAAAAACCCATTTTCAGGTCTGAGTTAGTTCCAGCAGCCCCATTTTTTGACTTCGCAGTGGCACTACCTACCATAATGTGGGGTGGTGCCACCACCCCGACTCCGGTGTTTCATCGCCTTGGTATATGTTGCTCCTTTGGTTCCCTGCAGAATTTTTTTTTTTCTCCCAAAATAGTGCACAGGCAGTGCGTGCTGCGTGGCGGCCACTACGGCCCTGTAAATTAAATCAGCGAAACAAGCAGTGATATATAATACAAGGCCCGTAGCAGGGGGTTCTGGGTGTTCGACGAACCCCCCCCCCCAAGCCCCCCAAGCCAAAAAAAAATGAATATTCACCTCAGGGGCGACTCCATTTTAGTGTTAATAATGCAAAATTCTCCATCGCGGGGAGGTGAACAGTGAACACCCTCGGCCCCACACCCTCCCCGCGGTCGCTTGGCTCCCTCGCCTGGTCGCTTCGCGCCCGAGCAGGGGCGTGTACAGGGAGGGGGTGGGTCCAGGGAGTTCCGCCGACCCCCCCTTGTCTGCGCAGAAAACGCACTGAGGGGCGTTACGTGACCCCCCCCCCCGGTCAAATCTGTACACGCCCCCGCCGAAGCAGAAATTGCCAACATTGATAAAACGAAACACCCCCCCCCCAATAGAAAGCTGGCCTACGGGCCTGTATATATATATATGATATATATAATATATATATATATATATATATGAGTGTAATATATATAACTTTATTAATACATTATTTATAGAAAACTCCACAGGAGTTCTTCACTTGTGACCGTCTACTAGCCCCCTATATAGTAGTCGTCGTCTAGGTTATGTATGTGATGATATCAGGAGTGAATAACAATAGATCTATTATTATTCACTCCTGTTGATTTATGTAGGGAGTGATCACTCTTATAACAGCAGACTTTAACCCAGTCTTTAATTTTTACAATGTTCAGTATGTTTACAGCGGCGGTCACGCAAACACTGTGCAAATGTGCATTGTCATTCGTGTTCATGTACGAATAACCTGTCAAATTAGTAAATTAAAATTTACGTACCAAGCAGCGATGCTGTCTGCTGTCATATATATAAACAATGAAATCATATTGGTTTCATTTTCGCTCGGTGTTACAACTTGCTGGTAAGAATAATATAAGCGAAAATGAGGCCAATTAATTTGCCAATGAGGCCATCGTTTATATATGACAGCATCGCCATTCCTAATATTTGTTTCCAGAGGTTTGTTATGAAATGTTTTTCGCACTTTTCATAGACTATGTGATGCTCACGCTGCACCTGTGCCAACACTCCTGGATGTCTGTCATATATACCTGCATGGCTATCGTGCAGATGATTTACATGTACATGCAGGTATACTAGCTATGAGTTAGATAGATATATAGTTAGATCGATTTATATCGATAATTAACAAAGCATACATTAGGTACAACGAGTAGTTATCAGTGAGACATAGGCCTACTCCTTTTTTAATTAGAAATAATATTGCGCAATCATTTAGTAGGCCCTATACCCGTAGACATCTTATATATGAAGAGCTAATAAATACCACATATATATGATATATATGCCACTTTTGGTGAATTTTGCCACAAGATAAACCACAATTCTTTCACAGATCTGCCCCATTATTATCTGTTTGTTTGTTCAAGAAAGAGGTATAATATTATAGGTCTAGTCCGGATTTTATCTGCACACAGCTGGTGGTTTCACTACCGCGGTTGGGAAAATAATCGGCGATGAGCAAAGATAGATTTGTACGAGTGACGCTACAGATCTACGATAAGCAGGAACCAATTTATGTTTATGCCGTTAAATTAAAGGTGTCGATTACGCTCGCCACTATCTCGCGCAAACCCACATTGAATTGGCAGCGCTGTCGCAGTTTTGCAAGTGACTCTATACCGCTAATTATGAATACATTTTTTTTAAACGCGTTAACAAGATATCCTGATGATATCAATATCGTATTCACAAGTGAGGAAAACTGTAATTAATCAGTTTATTTACACTAGTGATGTTGTCGCCACACGGAGACCAGTGCCCGGCAATCGTGGCATGACGATAACGCCTATACACAGACTAGATTATTTATTATCTATTTAACATTGATAATTGATATTAATTGATAAAGCCATGAAGGCGTAAACATCACTAACCACGCATTACGCATATGGTGTCAATAATTCCGTAGTGGTTTCGTGTCTTCTATCTTAGCAGTTTGTTTGTACACATGGCTTGTCGATACGCAGCTGATGTCTTCCCGTGAGATATCATCAGGTGTTCTTCCATCGGGGATTAATACAGCGCTATAAAAGGCCGGATTCTGCCGAATAAAGCCGTAGAACTGATTCGACTGACACCGAGTGCCAAGATGAAGCTCGTTATTTTCTTTCTCTGTCTCGGAGTGGCTTTGGCCCATGAGAAGGGTGCCTTCGAGCACATTGCCGAAGTCAACATGGGTTCGTATATCAATCTTTTCTCATTTAACATTCAGTACTAGATTAGGTCGTATTTTCCAAACAGAATTTAGGGTTGAATATGTTTACGATTATACTACACAGAGAACGATGCAAACGGCTGATGATCGAGGTATATGAACAGAAATATAGTCAAGTTATATTGTAACGTGGTACAAGAACTATACGGAGTAACCACGACTGAGCCAATTATTGCAGGTGGTCAACATTTCTAATGCTAAAAGCATTGTATTGTGTATTTTGTAGATGCCGGCATTGCCGATGAGCTCTTTGAGGGTGATATCAAGCTGACCTCCGTAAGTATGACGATCGACAACATGAATTGTTTTTACAACTTTAACATTCCGTTTTGTACGCGAAACTCTGCCATTGATATTAGCGGTAGCGATATTGTTATTTATTATCAATTATATTAATCATTTTTAGTTATTCTTATGTATGTTTAAAAATAAATAAAACGGGCAACATATGGTGGCGAGTTACTACTAAAGCTGGTTTTCAATTACGTAGAAAATATGTGCTACCAGAATACTATCTGAATCTCATATACATATATAGACCATTATTTACTTGACAGGAACAAAGAGGCGGCGTCAATAACCTGTACTACAGGTGGCCCAATGCACGAGTGCCTTACGTCATCGACGGCTCTCTGGGTATGTTCCTGATTAGGGTATACTATATACTGAACGTCGGAATCAACTCATGTTATCAAGAGTGAATAATAATAGATAATAAATAATAATGATAATAATAATAATCTATTA